CACTGCTAGAAACCTAAGCTTCTCCAGCATCCTTCATACAAAGCATTGGGTTTTCAAAGACAATCCTGTTGATGTCTTGCAAAGAAAAGCTGAACCAGTTACAACAAGTAATAATCTGTTAAGAGTGGTCGGAATTCAAGATCTTTAGAAGTATCTGATAAAGCAAGTTGAAGAACTGTTCAGACTGAAAGAGGACAAACAACAGAGGATACTATTACCTGCTACAATTTCTGCCATTCTTGGAGAGGAAGCAGCAGAAAAATTGGATGTTGCTCCTCTAATATGGTGTCAAGAGAAATTGAATATAAGGGCTTTTCAAGCTAAAGAAAATCTAATGCCGCCCAAAAATGCCTAGTAAAAGTAATTTTAATTGAGCAGTAAAACTGGCCAACTGCTACTCAGTTCTCCCTCATTTCTCAAGAGAGGAGTGAGTCTTAAAGGCTAGTTCTCCTTTCTGACGTGATTCTGATCTCTCATGGAAAGGTGCTGGTCCATCTGCTTGGACTGCAATTTTAACCACGGCTTTTCTTTAGTGAGTTTTCTATTTTACCAACCATTTAAAACTACAGCACATGCTTTCCTTGGTACTTCTGGCTCCATTCAAACAGACCCTTACAAAATTAACATTTTAGACATATAAACAAAAGCCACTCAAAAAAAGTGTCATTTTTGTCTTTTGTCCCTTAATATCAGGGCTAGTACTCAAAATACTGGTTAATAAGGGAGAACCTGCAGCACACTACAGAAGCTTGTTTCATGGAGAAAAGAAATATTCTGCTTAACATTAAAAAATTATTTTGCAAGTAGTACTGCTGCAATATATCAATATATATTGCAATAATACTGCCCCATGCAAAGTTCCATTTTCTAACCAAAAAATAGGCCCACCCCTCTTTGTGCAAATTAATTTAAACGCGCACACGTTTATAAGGACTTATAAAGTACTTCGAATAAAACACCCTGGAGCTGTTTGAGAAAGTGGGATTACTCACTAAACAGACAGATTAGATGCATAAAACCGTTTATTGCATAGTCCGTCGTGAACACAATGTATTTTTTTCAGCTTTACATAAGCATTATAATGATTTATATTTGGTCTTAATGCTACTTACACAGACTAAATGATAGAAGGGAACTAAAATAAACATGAAAAAAAAATATTTCTTGTGATGGAATTAATTATTGAAAAGCTTCATCTAAGCCATGTTGTCATCTGCATACTTTGGTGTCCCCTTCTACTTTGAAGAGTTTTCTCCTATAAGAGCCAAACTCACCACATACTGTAGGCTTTTAGACATCCCCTAATTTGCGAGCCGCACCCTGAATTTTAACCTTGCCTTTACCAGCAAATTTGCTCATCTCTGTGTCAGTCTCAATGAGCAATATTTTAGTGTTCCATTCCAACAATAAACCACTCCCCAGATATTCAGGAAAAACTGAAAAATTTAAGACAGGGGAATACAGTCCCTGAAGGCCCCTATTACTGCACGTAGCACTACAACACAGATGTGAGAAAAACACTGGATCTTGACCGTGGGCAGGCAGTACCAGCACAGAGCTAACAATCTTGGGTGAAGATTGTTACAGTGAAAAGCAGTATTTTACATTAACATTTAAGCTCACAGAGCAAAGAAACTACCCCTCCTTTATTACCTTTGGTGCATGAAGAAGCACAAAGTGAAATAGCAATAACTGATTTACTGCCAGATCCATCTGTTTTTACTGTTTTATTTGTATGTAGCCAATCCTGTTAATCAAATTTAAACTGTGTGGTGAATCTGAAAATGTATATTCATGCTTAGGAACATGATGGTCAGCTCAAATGTAACTCGTACTACAACATGATTGATCTCACTGACTGAACTTCTCATGATACCAAATTTCTCTTATATCACATTTAGTCTGTATGACGACACTGTACAGATCTTAAATCTTTGTCGTCTTTTTAATGACACTTTGAGGTGTAACGGACAATAAAACTAACTGTCAATCAATGAACATCTGATGAATATTCAAAAAGAAATATCTTCTTCTCAGTGTAATATCCAATACAGGACATCCTAATCCAAATGGTGATGCATAATAGTGTGAAATTTGACAATAGTGCAAGACACTTCTGAGAGCTGGGCAACCTCTAATCAATTGCATTAGATCGTTTGGTTTTCCGTAGCATATAGTGATAAAGACATTTGTTTTAAATATTATCTGTTTTTAGGGCCACTATGTATATTTTTTATAATCTAAAATACAATTGATTTTTAATTACAATTTATACACAATTACTAATAATTCTGTATACTGTATGGAATTAAAATATTTTGTTTGTGTTATGCTGCATGTCATAATACTGCATCTAATTTGGAGTAGTGCATAATCATTGTTTTTAATGAAATTGTCACTAATACACTATGCATACTGTACAGTATGATTAGTGTAAGAAAGCAACAATGGGGTAATAAACATTTAATACTGTACTGATTTGTCTGAGAATCGTGGCAAATGTGGCACTTTATGGATTCACTGCTCCTCCTGGCAGTTTAACAACATAGTGCAGTGCAGCATCGGATTTATTTGAAATTAAAAAAGCGAGATAAGGTTCTGTACCTCATGCTGCGGCTCTTACCACCCTGCGTATTCTAGATGGATGCATCTGTTTTAAAACAGTTTTTACATCCTGTTCCTAAACAGCGGAAAATTTTCAAATTTCATATGCCTGCCTTAAGAATGCCTGCTAACCCTTCCAAAAATAAACTGTAGATTATTTTCACATTTTTATAGGGATGTCCATATAAAAACTTCAGGTTATTGTCACAAGGGTAGTGAAGGCTTCAACTGTGGACTCGGAGATCTGTTCCAACAACAAACAGGAGACAAGAGAAGCTATTTTTTGAATTACATGCCTTATTAGCTAATGTTAATCTAGACATTTAACCATGAGAGTGTATGTGTATCATGATCTGTACTTTAACATGTCTACTGTGGAAAGTCTGAGACATAACAATCAACATAAGGAAAAAAAGGAAACATGCACTTCAGCTACTGATACTTCACAAAACTCCCTAATTCACGGTGCCTTAAATTAATATGCTTGTCAGGGCTGTCAAGCAGGAGACAGGCGCTGGCAGTAAAGTGAAGTGGGAAAAGGGCCAGGAAACTTAATAATTTTTAGACATTACAATACTCCAAAGGCACCCACAAAGTTTCCTGGAAAGGCTCCCTACGGTATAAACTTCTGCAGAATGTAATTCTTACACACACACACAAATTAGATGCACAGCTTGAGGTCTTTGCCTAATATAGATATAAGCAGGAGAGGCAGATGCAGTTCCACCCACTTACAGTCTGGAAGGAGTAGACTGCTTCCCAGAACAGCCATATAGCAAACTGCCTTGCCCCTAATCCCTCACTTTACTAACCGATATTCAGTTATACTTCACAGGAGGTTGGTCCACCTGCAGTAATAATTATGTTGCTGCAGCAGTCGTTCATACATTCCATTGTCCACTTCATCATGGGACCACTCTGCGACATCCTCACAAGATGTACAACCTGTGTCTATTCCTCTAGTTCAAGATTTCTTTTGTTGGCCTGATTTCTGCTCTTTGTTGTTATTGTTCTGTAAAATGCCAGTTACAACAGAAATCTGAAATAAAAATACAAATCCAGTTCCTCATTTAAGCCTGCAGGAAGAACAGGATTTAATAAAAATGTTTCCACTTCTTTATTCCGATGGCAGGTCTTTGAAACGTACTGCTGTGAGGTGACAGGGTGGGAGGACTCCTCTCTCTAAATGAGCTACTAGCAACAACACAAGCCTCCATATGGGCTTAAATGACCTCCTATCACTCGTACCCCATCGAGCTGCCCTGGCCGAACTGTCTCGGAAGTCGGGGATGCCGACATGCAGACCACAAAAGAGAGAAACAAGTCCACATCTGAAGAGACTGATGCCTGTGATCATTTTCTCTTTTTTGTGCATCACTTGCCCTTGCAGATACTAGATACATTTTTGACCTGTGATCATCATTGCTGTTCGTACCCACCCAATATTCTTACTAGAGCTGTCTTTACAACTTCATGCAGTTAATGTGCTCCAGTTAAATTCAAATTAGCTTTACTTTATTCCTTATTGATTTATTATTTATTTGCACTGGTTAATCAATCAATGGTAGAGATACAAAAAGGAAACCCATCCATTTTCTAACCGGTAACCCCTAATTCAGGGACCTGGAGCTGGAGCCAGAGCCTATCCCAGCAAGTACCAGGCTCAAGGTGGGGTACACCCAGGGTGGGACCCCAGTCCATTGCAGATTAAAAGTAAGTGTTCTTTAATTAAAGGGAGACTGCAGGCCCAATTTCTCAGATCGCTTATTAAATCTCAGTAACAAAATAGATTAATTAATGGTATTGCAAAATTTGACAAATTCCTAATTGAGCACAACATTGTGATTTTTGTGAAAGTAATGCAAGTCGCCATGTTGTCACAAACCACTGGTCTCGCCACGATCGAGAACTGCGAGGGCTCTATTCAAGGTGTTGTGAAAAGGCTTGACAAATCCCACCCCCCTGCATTTCAAAGCCTGACGGACATTGCTCTCAACGGCTGCCGTTAGAAGACATTTGACCTTTTGAACATGAATCCTTTATACAACCTCTTTCCGGGTCCCAGTATGTCCTGCAGGGCCATATGAAACACCCCAAGGAAGCATTTCAGTGCATTGAAGCTAAAGCCTTGCAAACAGCATTTAACTTTTCAGCACCAGGTTACCACCACTTAAGTTAAGTTAAGACTTAACAGCCAGAGGTCCTTAGAACCATATACAGTACATATATATCATAAATACATGTGTATATATACAGCTTTCCACAGGATTCTGAAGTCTGCCTTAACCGTTTCATTTTCAGTTTTAGTGCAATATACCACAGCAAAAGCAGGGTAATTTGTTAGAATTATGGTAAATAAGCTTAATTGCTTTCATAAGCACATGTCCCACACTCACCTCATTGTTGCAGGTGGACTGGATGGGTCGCCACCCCCGTAGTCTTTCCAAGCCTTTGCAGAACAGAACCCTTACAGCACACCTGGCCCACAAGTGAAAAAAGGAAAATGACAAAAAATGAAAACGGTTTTCCTCTGTGTTGCATTTTCAGTTAATCTACCCTGATTTTATTACAGTGGTCCATTGATTTGCCATAGTCTGTTCTACAACAGTGTATGGTGACTTACAATATTTGTTAATAGAATAGTAAGTGGTTAACACAACCATCAGGGCTGCGGCAAAACCTGCACAGTAGTACGCTGAGTGACATAAAACCACAGGAAACCTCTGTGAAACAAGCTGGAAAACACAGACAATTCAAGGTAATGATGCCAAATTACCATGTAAGATCACAATGAGTTTCATAACGATAATCAAGCAGAATTTAATTAGCCCCATCTGAAGCTCAAGTCCTCTTCCGCTACACAAATTTAATAATGACCAAGTGCAGTCATTATTAACACTTGGCTTACTTGTCCTTAAACAGCCTGAGAAGGCTGACAGTTAAAACTGTAAAAAATGCAAGAAGGTGAAGTCAAAATTAATGATGAGGACAAAACTGTAATATTTCAGTCCAATGACTGACAATAAGATAGATGAGCTACATTGTCGGATCAATGCGGAAAGGGACCTGAGGGAATGCTGTGTTTATGCCTTCACTGAAACCTGGCTGAATGCATGCGTCCCAGACACCACCATCCAGCCAAAGGGGTTCACCGTTTACCGCATGAACAGAAACCACCAAGCAACCGGCAAACACAAAGGCGGAGGTGTTTGCTTCCTGGTCAACAGCAAGTGGTGCACCGACGTGAAGGTAATCTCTAAATCCTGCTCGCCGAATCTAGAACAGCTGACCATAAAATGTCGACCCTTTTATTTGCCGAGAGAGTTTTCCGCCACTATTATCACAACCGTTTACATTCAACCTCAAGCCTGCGTGGAAGCAGCACATAGCGAACTCCACGACATTATCAACAAGCACGAAAACTCCCACCCAGAAGGCGTCTCAATTGTAGTTGGGGACTTCAACCACTGCAATCTGAGGAAAGTACTGCAAAAATACATTCAGCATGTTACTGTACCGACAAGAGGAGGCAATATTTTAGACCACTGCTACACAACAATAAAAGGAGCATACAAAGCACTTCCCAAACCGAGTTTCGGTAAGTCGGACCACTTCGCTCTCCTGTTGCTTCCCCACCTGCTTTAAAAAAAACACTATTGTTCCAACCCCCAAAAAGACAAAAGTGAAATGCCTGAATGATTACCGCCCAGTAGCATTAACATCTGTGGTGATGAAATGCCTGGAGAAGCTGGTGTTGTCACACCTCAACTCCTCCATCACAGAGTCCCTGGACCCCTTGCAGTTTCGCCTACCAGAACAACAGATCAGTGGATGATGCTGTCTCTCTGGCTCTGCATACAGCCTTGGAACACCTGGACACTAAGAACTCGTATGTGAGAATGCTGTTTGTGGACTACAGTTCAGCATTCAATTCCATCATACCCAGTCAACTGGTGACAAAGCTCAGGGGGATTAGGTCTGTGCAACTCTGTCTGCAACTGGCTGCTGGACTTTCTTATCGAGAGACCACAGCAACAACCGCATCATTAAGTTTGCCGATGACACCACTATAATAAGACTGATCAGTGATGATGACGAGTCCACTTACAGGGATGAAGTTGTACAGCTGCTTAGGTGGTGTCATAGCAATAACCTGGACTTGAACATAAAGAAAACGAAAGAGCTAATAGTGGACTTTCGGAGACACAGGCCACACACTCACAGCCCACTCAGTATTGATGGAACGGAAGTGGAAACAGTCACCAGCTTTAGGTTTTTGGGAATTCACATCTCTAAAGATCTAACCTGGACTGTGAACACTGACTCTATCATGAAGAAGGCTCAGCAGCGCCTTTATTTCTTGAGGTGCCTCAAGCGATGGGGGATGCCAATACATGTGTTGGTGAACTTCTACCGCTGCACTATCGAGAGCGTCCTCACCAACGGGATCACCGTGTGGTATGGCAACACCTCTTCGCGAGAAAGAAAGGCACGAATGGTCAATATGGCCCAGAAGATCATCGGCTGCGGTCTCACCGAGATTAAACAGCTCTATGAGGACTGCTGCCGTGGTAGAATTCTGGCCATCACAGAGGACAGTCACCACCCTGGGCATGAGCTCTTCACCCCACTGCCCTCAGGCAAGAGATATAAGAGCATACGGACACTTACCACTAGATTCTTCAATAGCTTCTATCCACAAGCAGTGAGACTGGCGAACACATTTAGCCATCCCCCTAGGACCACACCTACACCATCACCATCTACCTCATTGTAATTTATTTATTGTACGTCTCCAGTCATTGTTTACACGTCTGTATTGTTTACATTCAAACTGTCTGCATGTTTACTTGCGCATTGTCTATTGTTTGTTTGTACATTGTCTTGATGCACTGTTTGCACTTTGTTTTGTTTTTTTTTACACTTGTTTTACAATTGAGAGACTTTCTGTAAGTAAGAATTCCATTGTACCAGCACCAGTTACATATGGCAATAAAGTTCAAGTCAAGTCAAGGTGGTGCGGATAGGCAATAAAACATCAACACCACTCACCCTGAGCACTGGAACCCCACAAGGCTGCTGTCTGAGTCCAAGGTTGTACTCCCTATTTACTCACGACTGCACAGCAAGACACAGGCAAGAGATATAAGAGCATACGGACACTTACCACTAGATTCTTCAATAGCTTCTATCCACAAGCAGTAAGACTGGCGAACACATTTAGCCATCCCCCTCAGACCACACCTACACAATCACCATCTACCTCTTTATGATTTCTTATCTATTGCACATCTCCAGTCATTGTAGTACGCATACTGCATATGGCAATAAAGTTCAAGTTCTAGTTTAAGTTCAATGAACCCTCAAAACACCTACCTGACAAACTGGTGGAGCTTGCACGGGTTACTGGTTTTGGTAGGAAAGGATTAAAGACTGAAATATTTTAATTTTGCAAATATTATCTCAAGTAAGTTATTTAATCAATTCAACAAGTTTACTGTAGAAGTAGTTCAGGTGGGGAGCTGCGTCAGCATGCGTAGGCTGCAAAGGAACAAGTAATAGGTTTATTTCAGGCTGTAAAAAAGAAGAAAGAGAACACAACGTTTCAGCCGTGGAGCCTTCTTCAGGTGTGAGAGAAACAGGGCAGTAGGCAAAGGTAAAGTAGCGGGAGAACAAAGGTTGGGAGGGGGGAGGAGTGAGAGGCGGAGCAGGGGACAGAAAGAGAGGCCAATCAAGAGGTGTGGAGTCAGAATAGGTGTAGACAGGTGTGAAATGAAACCTCCAATGAATGGTGAAAATAGTACACAATACGGGATTTATACAGCAAATTTGTTCTTGGAGTACTTGTACATCATAAAAGCAAAAATCCCATTTTAAAGGCTTAAAGATTATGACTGGACTGCAGTTTTATAACCAATAGCAGCACAGACATCATGATTGGCCTCTCTTCCTGTCCCCTGCTCCCGCCTCTCACTCCTCCCCCCTCCCAGCCTTTGTTCTCCCGCTACTTTACCTTTGCCTACTGCCCTGTCTCTCTCACACCTGAAGAAGGCTCCACGGCCGAAACGTTGTGTTCTCTTTCTTCTTTTTTTCAGCATGGAATAAACCTATTACTTGTTCCTATTGTAGAAGTAGATGCACTGGGGGAAAAAAAATGCAGGTGCCCTTTGCTGACACGTGTTATTTTGTTGAACATGTAATCCCCAGAGGACACAGAATGGCCAGTCTCGGGTCACCTGACACGACTTTCAACAAAAATGACAAATTTGATATTTTAGTATGTTTTTTTTTTAGGATTTCTTCTTGCATGAGTTGCTCCTTTAATTATCCATTCTGATAAATTTTTAGTATATCATGAAGTTATCGAGATGTTATTGTATATCCATTTGACATCTTATGCTTTATTTAAAAAAACACAGATCTATAATGAGATCAATTATACATTTTACCAGCTCTTATCTGTTAAACTTTATAAACTGGTTATTTTATAAATAAAATATCAGCAGCAAGAGTCAATCTGTAAAAGAGCCATTACATTTATAAAACTACAAGATGTTCTTTCAATTTATGAGCAGACAACGTTTTTAGAAATTAACAAGCACATCTGAGTAGAGAGTCACAAAATTTATCTTCTAGCCCAAAGGAACTGGACAGCCTGACTGACAAAGTAACTTCAAAACCCTAACACGCATCTGAAATTGCCAGATAATGATCAAAGTGTTAGTCACTTTTTGCCAGCTCGTAGAGTGCACAATAAGCCATCCAGACAAACAAAACCACCCTGTCTATGACATAAAACATGATTCTACCATGTAAGTGGTCATTTATCAGGCACCTTTGACCAGCATGACACATAAACCTTAGCATTTTGTTTTCCCAGTGACTGATTTTCTTTCATGATTCAAATAAAGGCATAACTGAATCAAACTCTTAGCACCTCTTAAACCAATGTACATTTGAAGTGACAACAAATAAGGAATTAGTCTTGCTTAATGTGCAAGAATTATTTGAACAAGCAACAAAGTAGATAAAAGAACATTTCAGATTTACACTTGCAGAAAACTTTTAATATGATCCCTCAAAAAAGGCTGATTTAAAACTCACGGTACAGATAATGTTGCACACTAATAAAAAACAAAAATAACTGTGTGCAGTGAACAGTGGTGTCATAGGGACCTATTTAGAGACTAATTTCTCTTCTTGAGCTATTGCATGATTTTAGATCTAGATATGAAAATGTTTGGATGGCAGAAATATGGAGAATGCCAAAGAGAATTAGTGGCAACGGAACTATAAATCAGACAACACCAATTAAATGTATCATAGATTAGTACAAAGTGGGGCAGCACAGGTCAGCAATGCAATGTTCTCCCTGTGGTGCTCTGGGTTCTTCCCACAGTCTAAAAACATGCTTTTGGGTTAATTGGCTTCGGAGTGTGAATGTGTTTGTGGCTATGTGTGCCCTGAGATGGACAGGTGTCTTGTTTAGGGTGTACCCTGCCTTACGCCTGCTGCTTGCCAGGAGAGGGTCCGGCTCCCCTGTGACCCTGAATTGGATGAAGCCGTTAGAAAATGGATGGATGGAAGTAAAGAGTGTTCCCCATTCATGGGTGAGGGTGATGGGTCACCCCATGGTAGTGCAGGAAGCCACTCACAGAAGACTCTACACAAACATTCAGAAGCCTACAGTATGAACTGATCACGACAACATGGAGAAGCAGGAAACAAGAATAGCAAAACTGCAATTTAAACCAAGGGATGTTATGTTTAAGTTTGACAATGCACTAGTGAAACCTCATTTAAATCACGGTGTTTAGTTTTATATAAAATATCTTCATTACAAACCACAAAGAGGATATTATAGCCTCAGAAAGAATTAAAAGAAGGGATTTTCATATAAAGACAAAACTAAGGGAACTAAATGCTTTCGGTGTAGAGCAATGGAGATTGAGACAAGATCTGACTAAAGGATATAAGATCCTAAGTGTACAGAGTTAACCCTGGGGAAACTTGGAAATGCTGATGATGGAAGGATACCAAGACAGAAGACTGATCCAGATTCCTATGAAAGCACAGTGAGTAACTACTGATTAATATTCTGAGAACAGAACCAATATTTGGATAATATGTAGTCCGAAACATACCAAACAACTCAAATAAAAGTATTGTATTCTTCATATGAGTGCTATACCTGACACTTGTTTCTAAAATAGTACACAATACGGGATTTATACAGCAAATTTGTTCTTGGAGTACTTGTACATCATAAAAGCAAAAATCCCATTTTAAAGGCTTAAAGATTATGACTGGACTGCAGTTTTATAACCCATGGCAGCATAGGCATTTTAAACTACCTGTATCTCACTTTTGTGCACTTTATACATAACTGTGACCTGCACAATTTTTTAAAGGAAGAATTGTGTGTTATTCACTAAGAAAAATGTTTCCCGTTTTTGCAAAAGTTTGCAATTTTTGCCAGTATCCTCACCCAACGGGCTCTGCGTGTACTTCAAAATCTGGTCTCGTGAGATAAGGTACTAATAACCATATTGTGTTTCCTCAGCTTTATTAGGAAAATTGAAACAACAATTTGCAGTCAGCTGTGAATACAGGAGAAGCTGCCTTTAAATTTTGGCAGATGGGCAGCAGATGTAGGAATTCTAACATAAAAATGGAGAAAAGCCATGGGGTCTGTAGAATTAAGTGAAGAATTTAAATGAAAAAAAGAGGATTTATTCAAATGAGAGGAAGTTACCAAAGTCACAACAATGCTTTTACAGCTGGGTGTGACACAAACATATCTGGAATATAATCTTTGTTTTTAAGATTTTCAATAAAAGGATGTATATATATATCAAATAAAGATGTTTTTTTCCCTTGTATTTTCATTTTAGGGTTTTACTAACAACTTTTCTCTTTCACTGCAGATAACACTGTATAAACTGGAGCAGCTTTTATTGGCTGATATCTAAACAAAGTAAAAAGATCGAGAGAAGCAACCGCTTTTTGTTTCTGTGTGCAGAAATAATACAAAGGAATAAGTCAAAGACCTGAAAACATTTTGCTTAATTCAAAAGGAAATTAATTTGAACTACGTATTTTACAGTTACTCACAGTAGGTGTTTCTGTTGTGCTTCAAATCAGATATGAACGCACTAGTTCTTCTAGACACCCAATAAGACCCAGAAGACGTAAAGGAAGTGTTGCCTTGGAAGTCTCTTTAGAGCTCAGTGTACAGTATGTCTGAGCGGCTTTGTAAACACTACGCTTAAACACGCATAGATACATGTATTTTCGGTTCTCCCTTCAGTTTGGGAACAGGGCACGGAGCAGAAAGCACTATGGCCACCCCGGGGCAAAGAGAGCGCTTTAAAAGCGCTTCTTCAGCTCAGTAAAAGGACAGCAACGTGTTACAACAAGCTTGACTAGGAACTACAGTACGGCAAACATTTGTAGTTATTCCAACTGTTGTCTTTAGCCATCTGACTAGCTAACTTATCCACTGAAAGCCAAGGGTTGGAATGTCGATACAGAGATGTACAATTGTGTTATTCTTAAGTTATATTATTTATTTAAATGTTTATCTATTGCTATTGATGATACATTCATTTTGTTGTTTCTTTTAACAGTGTATCACTTAATTAAAGAGTTTACAACAATAACCTGCATTGATCTAGCGCTTTCTGTCCGAAGCTGTTCACCTGTTGAAAAGGGACCCACTTCTATCACTGCTCACAGGTAAAACCCGGATATATTTTGAGAAATCTAGGCCTCAACGTCACTGCATCGAAATTTTGTAACCTTCTCCAGTTCGTTAATAACGTGGTTGAACACGCTGTCTTTACCCAGCAGTAAATATCATACCATCCCTTAGAAATAAAGGTATTTTACTGATAATTTGTACGGTATAACCGTGAAATGAGAATAACGGGGGAAAATAATTTAGTGTCAGAATAATTTAAGGGGAACTGGTTTAAAATAACTAGTAGCTGAATGAAACTATTGTGGAAAAAGAAATCCTTGAACTTTTGTAGGCGGAGGAGAATAAAGAATAAGCAATTGTATAAAATAAAATTGTGTGACCTTATTTCAGGATTGAGATCTGCGGTTGTGAAACTCTCCTTTCCAGAACATTGGTACAAAACATTTTTACCAATATAAGATATAGGGAGTCTCATAACCTGAACTCGAACCGAGTTTATAAAACACACCAGCCGCACACACACAAAGTGAAATATACACGTGTTTATGTGCAGGTCACATGCCAGTTTAGTAAATTCAGTTTAAGGTGTCCTCTTCAGAGATTTAAGTGAATTAAACTGTTTTTTTTTTATATAAAGAGAGCGGTGCTGACCACGAGTCAGTAGGACGGAGCAGGTTTCAGTGCACTTACCTGATCCAGCAGGGCGGCTGGGGAGCGGATGCGCTGTATTGTTACTTTATAAATGCGGTACTGTAGGGTGTGTCTATTCTAACCCATGTCCGAGGAAACACAATTTGAAGAAAACACACACACAGGAGGAGTAAAAACAAAGTCAAATCTCAGTGATAATATGAAGCCTTGTCATCTTTTAATCCTCGCGTTTGTCCTCAGAGCCAGTGGCTCTCCAACAGGTGAGGTACGCACAGTCTGGAAGGACACACACAAAAAAACCTCCACCCTTTCCAGAAATCCCGGAAACATGAAGATGGACGCCGAGATGGAGCCTCCCAGTTTATATAAATCACAGGAAAATACGCTGGGTAATAAATTTAGAGTCGATCACGAAGAAATGCGGAAGACCAACTGTATTTCCACCAACTGCAAAGTGTGGTTACCCAGCTGTTTTTTTTTTTAAAGAAGAGTTTGCAATTTCAGAAGTAGCCGCCCAAGAAGCTGAAAACATCACCCTCTTGTGTTCTGCAGACACTGAGCAAACATAATAAAATTTTAAAGTTCTCACGCGGCATATAACGACGAAATAATTATTGACTGAGGCAATGTTCCACCTCGGTAGTAAAATAACCTACAACAAAAGTACAGTGTCCCGACTTCAGGGGTGCCTATGAGATAGAGCACTGGGAAGGTGATATGTCCCCTGTCGTTTTTTTTTTTTCATATATACTGTGAGGTGCTAAGCCACAGTAAAGACAATGAGTATATTTTCTGATTAATAATTTTGTTTTTTTAGGGCTTGAATTTACTTTGCAGCCTTCTTATCAAATTAAAGGTCAGTAAACGCATGTTCGTGGAACTGCAATAAAGGCGTCGTATAGAACAAACTAATCGCATTATTTTAATTGCCAAATGATTTCTGATAAAGTATTTTAAATGCGGTACAATCTCCTTACAAAGTGTTAAGAAATTGATCAGTAACCTACGAAAATGGGAGGACAAAGTGATGCTAAAGTGTCGGCGGAATGAAACGGGATCCATCTAGACATTTTTTTTTTACCTGTGGAAGGGGAAATAAAGACCACGCAAAATCCCACTTCGGTTAACTAAAAATGTTCATCTGTAACAATAGCACATTCATAATAATAATAATAATAATAATAATAATAATAATAATTGCTTAGATTTACTGTATATAGCGCTTTTCTGGACACTCCACTCAAAGCGCTTTACAGGCAATGGGGACTCCCCTCCACCACCACCAATGTGCAGCATCCACCTTCCACATTACAGTTAAGGAAATAAACTATCTGGTTAAAAAAAAACATTGGAATACTGACCGAGCGAGATTCCCAGAAATTCTTCTGGACCCTTAGCGTTTGAAGATGGCAGGAAACCATTTCACCTGTCTTGTTTGTTGGGTTTAGCGTTGCTAAGTGAATTCGGGGATTTCCTCCATTTTCTTGAAAGATCTAGGTCATAAAGATATGGTTGGATAGCTTGTTTCCGACCTTCACGGCCCTGATTTTTTTAAACTCCTTTTTTTACAGCAACTCGGGTTATTGGGCTGTTCGATGGAGAAAATTTCGGATAGAAAACAATTGATGTTCCTCTCAAGTTGCTTCACCACTTTGAATTTACCGAAACTATTTTGTTTTAAGAAAAGGTAAAAGGGTGCTGACTGTTGGGACAAACGGCACCAAATATCGGAACCAACCTTTAATTTCACAAGAGCAACTTTGTATGCTCTTTCGAGATGTTTTGTAATTTGTTTCATAATGGACGATTGCTCTCAGCTTTAATGCAGTAAATAACGTTGACTTTGAAAAACCCGGAAAGGCACTTCTGTTCTTTATTTTACTTTTCTGTACTTAAAAAACAAAACAATTATCCCTAAAAATGATTTTGGAATGCTACAAAGTCTGTAGTAAAATGGTTCAATTGTGTTCTACTAATAGCAGTATTCTGAACATCTCCCAAACATAAAAAAATCGTTCTCCTTTCCTTTCTCATTGTAGCATGGCAGAAAAGCACGTTCATCTTTAAAATAAATTGCTTTTCTCCTGAGGCGCCATTCCAGGGGAAAAGCGCCACTCAAAGCCAAGTGCAACGTGACGAATCCCTGAATTCTGAGATGGAGAAATAAAGAAACGATTAGTTAGATTTTTATATTAATTGCAAATATTTTAATTGAAACGGATGTTTATATTTTAGATGCTCCATAAGATGGCAAATAACATTGCATCCCCTCTTCACCTCTGCATGATGCAATTAGCACCACAAATGAAGAAGCACATTAAAAGCAACCCAAGAACCAGAGGGCACAAGCTGTAATGAACAGAAGGTGCTGTTAGGAGAGAAACAGACAACTAGTTGCTGGAGCTTCAAAACCTGGCTTGGATAAATGTGATAACTGGCACCCAAACTGTCTTGTTAGACCAAATGCCTGCTTTCTTCCTTTCTTGCTTTGTTCCCACTTTGAAACTTATGTTCTAAGAACCCAAATGTTCAAACAGAGCTGCAGGGTGTCATATCATCATATCATTAGTTTGCAGTAAGCACGGTGTCATATCATTAAGTTATTAGCGACCATATTAACAAGACAGGCTTCATGGCCTCCTCTCATTTGGAACTTTCTTATATTCTTATCAGTATGGCTTATCGCCTTATGTCACATCTCTTTTTCATGAGGAACAACAACAGTCAAAAATCAGATGCCTTTTGACTGAGTGTTTTATGTTGGATGAGTTTTGGCTTAACCCATTTGGGTAAGGGGTCCTCTGCTGGCCACAGGACAGAGGCGTGGCCCCCAATTCAGCGAGAGGAGTTAACCAAGGGGTAGCTGCAAAGGTGTAGATGGGGTGGTAGAGACATTTTCCCAACATGTTTCACTAAAATGCAAAAAGATTCGTTTTTTGGGGAGATATATATAGCTGTAAAAATGCCTAACAGCTGTGTGAAATTGGCTTCATTTGTCCAAACCATTTTGAACTTCAGTTAATAATTACTTTTATTATCGTTTCTGTCTGGATGACAGACAGAGACCACTTGTCATTTTCCTCTTATGTTGACTGGACCACTGTCCACAAATAGATGAATAATACATGAGGGAAAATACGAGATTGTTTCTCTCTTTCTTTTTCTTTTAGGACTGATGACTGCAACATTCGTGCCACCAAAATGCGAAAAGATTAGTTTGTGCGAGATGTACTATATATACACCATGAAAGTTGGTGATGGTACTTTTGACTGTCATTGTCCCCCATGAACTTCAGCTCAGAACTTCCATTCATGCTCAGTGCCTTTACCTGAGTCAAGGCAGCCACCAAAACTATGGATATTTGTCAAACACAAAATACTCACAACGCAGTTATAGTCAATGTGCTGGCAGAAATACAGCAGCAACGTCAATTGTCTGCAATGAGCGAAACCAAGTGAAAGCTAGCTTAGGGCTGTGAGATGTTTCAAGGATGCACAAGATATTTTGAAAAGAAAATAAAAAATTATGGAAAAAAACAGGATAGAGTACAACTTGCACAGGAATGTCAGTGTTTTAGGAAAATAATTTCTTCCACCATTAATCCTATCCTTCCACCACAGCTGCCTGGTTTGCCTGCCAGGCAACTATAGATATTGCTGGAACTTAGCATGGGACTGGGCTTGCTGACATTCAGATATTCAGTTATATATCCCTTATTCATACAGTATGTAAATTACAGCACTTTGCATGGGTTATTGTTATCTCTACTTCTGACTATGCAGGTCAGAAACACTGCCATTTTTTATTTGGAGTTGCTCAGATTCAGTAACCTGGAACATGATTTTGACTAAACCTTTAAGTAGTGTAGAACCCTCGGCATATATTTTAACTAAATAGGGATACTTCTACAAACAAACTGAATTGTAGTTAAACCTTTTCTGTCAGTGAAATGGGACACACCTTATGCAAAGCTTTGTCTAATACTCTTTCCCTGTGGGAGGCTTTGTTTGTAGGTTTCATTGTCTTTTACAGTCCTTTTGTTATCATAATCCACAACATGCTCTCCTACTTGATGTGGGCCTGTATTGTACTTGCAAAGACATGTTAGGCAGTTATAAAGAAGTCATAGAATATTTGAGTGTGCTTTAGTTGTAGCAACTTACACCTGTTTGTCAGCAAATGTCAGAAAACCAGCATATAGGTGTATTCTCACAATAAGTCATAGAGGTGAGACTTTTTCAAGCTGAAAGTTGGAAGTGCACAAATACTCACAAGGTTCAGCTGTCTTGGAGATGGTCCTAACAGCATGAGAGGTTTTGTTCTTGTATAATCATAAATTAATTACTCCTTCTTAATTGAGGATGTTTTCATTTTTGATGGACTGTAGAGTGTACTGTTGGTGTGTCCTTGTGTGTGACACACTTCGGGTCCACACCCAAAGAAGGCTCCACAGCCAAAACGTTGTGTTTCTTTTCTTCTCTTTTCAGCATGGAATAAACCTTTGCTTGTTTCTTTGTAGCCTACACATGCTGTTGCAGCTCCCTACTTGAACTACTGTATTAACAGCTTGTCTTGGGCAGGACTGCTGTAACACATCAATTTCCCTACGGGATTAATAAAGTCTTATCTATCTCTCTATCTATCTTAACATGGCTGTCTAGCCCACCTCTGTGCTGATGCTTATGCTTATTTAAGCACTTGATCTACTGCTATTCACTCCTCATTGGCCTTCAGACACATGCTTCAGTATTCAGGTATGAGGCAGGATACACCCTGGTCAGGACACTGTCACGATCGTAATCCCTCCTTTTAAGGGCGCTCCGGCTTTTTCTTATTTTGCTGATTACGTGCACCTGCCCCCAATCCTGCTCCTCCTTATTTAAGCCTGGCGCTCCTGCTATTGATGTCTCAGCATTGGAAGATGGACGCCCGGAAGCCTGCCTTCCAGCGGGTCCAGGAGAGACCCAACGGCATAGGCTTCACCACAGCGTCCTGACCATCTGAGTCATCCTGTTTTTATGCCCTGTCCCTGTACCGGATCCCGTTCCGGTGTTTAACCTTGTCTTGTTTCATCACTGATGGATCACCTGGTTTTGGACCTTGGACATCACCCTGGATATCCCCCCTGGACTCCTTGGACTTGTCTGCCTTGGCCACACCCCCCGAACACCTGTTCACTGTCATCACACCCAACCATTTGTCAACCTGCCCTGATCCTCATCGTCTCCTCCCCATTGTCCTACTCCACTAACTTCCAGATTATACCATCTGCATAGGGACCTGGACTACACACTTGACGGGACTCAGGACCAGCTCCCGTTACAGACACCAATCCATTGCAAGGTAGACTCAGACAAACACAAACACACCCTCACATCAGGGCCAATTTCCCCAGAAGCCAATTAAACTACCAGTATGTCTTTGGACTGTGGGAGGAAACCAGAGCACCCAGAGGAAACCCACACAAACATGGGGAGAACATACTATACAAACTCCATGCAGGTAGTACCCCAGGTCCGCAATGCTACCATACTGCTCGTGCATAAATCCAATTAACTAAATATCAAGAACGAAACCGAGTGTCACATCACAAGAACAGGAGTCAAGGTTATGAAAACAGTATACTGTAGCATCAAACAGAGCAGCACACAATAAGATAATAATAACGGTCTTAAATGTGAGGAAGCTATTCAAGTCATAGTTCATTTGGTTGCTGTGAGTTGCTTTAGCATGGCTTAGTAGCTTGTTCCAGAGCACCCCCACAACTGTCTTTATTTATAAATGCACTTCTCTGCCATATTCACTTGTGTCCTTGAGGTTCATGTTTCACTGTTGATCCCAAATAAGTCTATAAGGGATGGCGGTGTCTGTTCTGGGTCAGAATCCTCTCAGAATTCCAAATGCTTGAATCAGGTCCCCTCAGTCCTTCTCTGTTCAAATGTAAGATGGAGCAGTATTTTTAGCGTGACCGTGTAGCACATTCCTTAGAGCCTAGGAATAAATCTGACTGTTCTTCTCTGGACTAATTCCAGAGCAGCAGGAACGTCTTTTGTCACGTGTTGACCAAAGTGCTACTTAGAAATCAGTATGAGGTGTTAATGTTACATTGTACAAATTTCACGTAGCATTCCAAAATTGAACTTTTGCATTTTTTACTATGTGTCCTAATATGTTTTTACCATGTTTGACCTTTTTGTATTGTATCCCCCCACTATCCAGAAAAGGAGATCCCAATCACCATAATTTGAGGTTATGGAGAAAGCACAAATTGGTCCACTTGCACCTTAATTGGATTAATTTTACGTTATTCTCAAGTGTTAATATTTTAAGTAGACATAAACCTACTTATCAGGAGTTGTGAACCTGAATTTTACGGAATGTTTTCATCCTGTGCTCACCAGCAAATGTCACAAAACAAAAACAGAAAAGAACAATCATAAAGAAATCATGTCCACATCATGTAATTGAAGTTAAATTAAGCTCTTTTTTATCCAAAAGGATATTGTTACTTTATTTTCATGGTTTTGGCAGTTCAAGCCAGAAGACAGAAAAGATCAAGAAATCATCACAATAAATCTGAAATTACATCCTCAGCAATTCAAATAAGTACTCCAGTTGAACTTTGACAATACCTCAGGCAACCGATGATGTAATGTAATTTAGTAACTCTTATCCTAACTGAAAAAAATTCTAAAATAATCTTGCCTGGTATATTTTTGGAAACAA